GATTTTCACGAAACTTGACCGACATCACTCTAGGCTCGATTCAGTACGTTATGCCAAATTTCGTGCAAATCGAAGGATATATAGGGACTTTGGTGCACCATTTACATGAAATCGGACGAAAATATATATAGGAGCTATATCAAAATCTGGACCGATTTTCTCGAAACTTGACTGACATTTTTCTAGGCTCAATTCAGTACGTTATACATAACTTCGTGTAAATCGAAAGATATATAGGGACGTTGGTGCACCTTTTAAATCAAATCGGACAAAACTATATATGGGAGATATATGTAAGTCTGGACCGATTTTCTCGAAACTTGTACGTTCAGTACGTTATGCCAAATTTCGTGCAAATCGAAGGGTATATAGGGACTTTAGTGCACCATTTACATGAAATCGGACGAAACTATATATGGGAGCTATATCTAAATCTGAACCGATTTTCTAGAAACTTGGCAGGCATTTTTCTAGGCTCAATTCAGTACGTTATGCCTAACTTCGTGCAAATCGAAACATATATAGGGACTTTGGTGCACCTTTTAAATTAAGTCGGACAAAACTATATATGGGAGCTATATGTAAGTCTGGGCTGATTTTCTCGAAACTTGTACGTTCAGTACGTTATGCCAAATTTCGTGCAAATCGAAGGATATATAGGGACTTTAGTGCACCATTTACATGAAATCGGACGAAACTATATATGGGAGCTATATCTAAATCGGAACCGATTTCAATAGGGTTCGTCCTTGGTCCAAACAAATGAGCTGTGCCAAATTTCATCCAAATCGTATTATAAATGCGACCTGTACTTTGTTTACAATTTAACACCAACAGACGGGCGGGCGGACATGCATAAATCGACTCAGAAAGTGATTCTATGCATATTCTCATATTCTTTTGAATTTCGTTCTGGAACAGCCCTTACATTAACGCATAGCTGTATATATAAAACGTGTGTTTTTTTTCGACCTGGTTTTGTGCACTTTAATGGCACACCTTGTTTTGGTGTGTCCTTTATTTTGTTGATGTGTTTGTGTGTGTTTATTAAAAACATCATCCTGTTGTTTTTCCTTTTTGCCTGCCAGGACACACACATGTAAAACCTACAACCAAATAATACTAAGAACCAAAATTTCAGCTTAAATTTTATTAACAACCTAAACAAACTACAAAGGACATTTGTATGTTCATATGTATGTCGGCATGTATGTATGTTAGTGTTATGACCGGCTGCAGTCTGTTGGCTGAGGTAAATGAGTAAATCTGCTCTTGTTTTTCTCGTTTATCCCATGGATGGACATGGATGTCCTTGCCGAGAACATGGTACTTTCGCTGTTGTGGCATATTTTGACTGTGTATGGACTTGTAACTGTATTCCGGAATACTTTTGTCATGACCCCATATTTTGTTGTTAGTGTTCGGCTGTTTTTGTTTCAATAGCTCTTTAGTAATGCAACACGACAAAAGCAATTGCCATTTTAAACATTTGTAGCAGTAATTTCAACGTAACGTAATGTCATTGTTAAAAAAAGTTTCAAGAGGAAACTGCAACAACAACAACAGTGGCACTCAAAAAGGTTTTATTGTAGCGGGAATATTTTTCGCAACAGGACTATAATGAAAATTATGCAGATGAGTTAATCACAGGATATGTTGGCCTAAATACTAAACAAAATTGTTAAAAATTTAGCTTTCTAAAAAATTTTGAAATTATAAATTTATAAAACATAGAAAATAATTTTAAGCAATACTATTAACATTACTTCCTAACTTATTTCATGCTCGTCGATGTAATAGGTACATGTAATGTATTTTATTTTACTGACAGCAAGAACAACAAATGTTAAATTCCTTTCACGAAACTTGTTGAATTTCTCCAGTTAATTTCAGGGAACTATTCACAATGCACACACCAAATGTTTGTCATATCAGCAGCGAAATTTATTTTATTTTAATTAACATATTTATATGAAGTAATTTGTGTATTAGGTTGGGTCCTTATCCTTTTCTTCTACGATGTATGGGATAGTTCTTAAAAACATACACATTTATAGAATATATCTTATAGTTGTGGTAGTACTTAAAAACATTAATTTAAGTAGAAAAGTTAAAGACGAACCCTTAATAACCTCCTTTGTGTCGTGTGTATACATAATGTCTTAAATCGTGCGGTATCTTCATATGGAGATCATACCTGCTAGTAGGTAGGCCTATTAACATCTGCTGTAACGTGGTTTTCTCTTCGGCTGAGGTTAGCCCAGCCATGTCCAAGGTCTCCATAAGGACCCACAAAACCTTATTGATTGAAAAGACTAGTGTCTCCCTTTTGGGGTTAAAATCTGATGTTTATTGATTTTAATACTAGTGCGTTTATATATATATATATAATACAAATAATTGATTTCGAGTGGTTTAATATGCTGGTGATCATCGGGAGCGGCTACGACGATTTAATGGTGATCGGGAATGATGATTGTCGGGAGTCGGAATCGATGATCGGCAATGATGATTCACCGGTGATCGGGAGTGGTGAATGTCGGAAGCGGCAACGATGATTTAACGGTGGTCGGGTGTCAGTAACTCGGCAACGACGAGTTAACGGTGATCGGGAATGATGGTTGTCGGGTATCAGCACGATGATTAAACGGTGGCCGGGAATGATGGTTGTCGGGTGTCAGTACGATGATCGGTAACGACGATTTGACGGTGATCGGGAATGATGGTAATCTGGTGTCAGTTCGTTGATCGGCAACGACGATTTAACGGTGATCGGGAATGATGGTTGTCGGGTGTCAGTACGATAATCGGCAACGACGATTTGACAGTGATCGGGAATGATGGTAATCTGGTGTCAGTACGATGATCGGCAACGACGATTTAACGGTGATCGGGAACGATGTTAATAGTTGCCTACTGACTAAGTTCTCGCGCAATCTACTATATCTAACTACGAACAGTAGACCGAAGTCTCTGTGTGGAACAGTAAGCCGAAGCCTCTGTGTGGAACAGTAGACCGAAGTCTCTGTTTGGAACAGTAGACCGAAGTCTCTGTGTGGAACAGTAGACCGAATGCTCTGTGTGGAACAGTAGACCGAGGTCTCTGTGTGGAACAGTAAGCCGAAGTCTCTGTGTGGAACAGTAAGCCGAAGCCTCTGTGTGGAACAGTAGACTGAAGCCTCTGTGTGGAACAGTAGACCGAAGCCTCTGTGTGGAACAGTAAGCCGAAGCCTCTTTGTGGAACAGTAAGCCGAAGTCTCTGTGTGGAACAGTAAGCCGATGTTTATGTGTGGAACAGTAGACCGAAGTCTCTGTGTGGAACAGTAGACCGAACGCTCTGTGTGGAACAGTAAGCCGAAGCCTCTGTGTGGAACAGTAGACAGAAGCCTCTGTGTGGAACAGTAGGCCGAAGTCTCTGTGTGGAACAGTAAGCCGAAGCCTCTGTGCCGATGTATTTATGTAGCCGCCACAATGGGTAGCCACCCAAAAGAATTGTGAATGATCGTCAGTGCAATGAACATCCACAACACAAAATAGCAAGCCTATGCAATGGCAGGCCCCCTCAGTAGATGGAAGTGAAATACTTCAGTTTGCAGAGTCACAACGTAAATGAGAATTATATGATAGAGTAACTGACGTGTGTCAAATGCCTATGCACTCGTTCCTAGTACTCACGGGGACGTCATGCGAGGTTGTTGCTATGATGGGTAACGTTTTGTATGTATGTGGCTTTTGACACGTTACACTGCAAATGACGTTTTGTATGTATGTGGCTTTTGACACGTACCAAAAAGTAAATGGGAAATGTTCTACGGGTGTTATAGGAATATAAGGATTTATACCATCAAAATACGGAAAATGTATCAGTAAGATTTTATAGGGGTTCTGTCTAAACATGATCCTTAATCGAGCAATTTCTTTACGATACTTTCAAATTAACTAAATTATTTCGAGACCTGGAATCTATGAAATCCATGTGAAAAATTTTACAAAGATATTATCCTCCACCATTACTACCTACCTTAACAATCGAAATACGAATTTCCAAAACTTTCTGCATGCGCCAATTTCTAATTTAAAATTTTTCGTGATTCCTGCTCCATCAATTCATTTAAGTCCAATTGTACCAAATGTAGTGAAATTTAGTACACATTAGTGGAGATTTTAAAAACTTCCTACTTACCCGAATCCAACACCCAAACAGTGATACTAAGACAGCATTTTGAGATTCTAGATCTACGTACGAATTTTCAAGACTACACACCAAAAGTAATCCTAATTCCAATTTTCAGAATTCCAACTCACTTAAATTAAAAATGTACCAAATTTGGTACCATTTAATACCCTTAAGTACAAATTTCCCAAACCTACATCCATACCCCTAATTCTACACTCCTACAGTAATTTAATTTCCAAATTTCGGTACTCCAGTTCTATCGGTTCACCCAATCCAGATGGTACCAAATATAGTACCAATTTCAAATTGTACAAAATTTAGTACTTTTCGTACACGCTTCAAAAACGACCTTCTTTTACCTACCCTAATGACGGAATGACAAATTTAATACAAATCCCAACCTTATGGTCATCACAGGATTGAGCAAATAATTTTCGACCCTCCCTAACATACCTTACTATTTCCAGGAACTTCACGCCGAGTTAAAATTAAATTAACTCTTTCTGTATGTTGATAGAAAACAAAAGAACCATCCCACACACTTACATATTTTCGCCCCAGGCTACTAACGCATTTCCCAGGAGTAAATATTTTTTGTACACCAAAAGATTATTGGCAAATCCCAAAGGTGTAATGCAGCACGAGGTGAGTGTTTTAATACAAATGTGATAAGGCAAACCACGCCATTGTTAACCGAAGTGGTTACGGCATGTCAGGGTATATAAAAAGCGAATCCACTGGAAGACTTTTTCAATAGTCGCAGATTAGACGTGGTTGTGTCAACAGTCAGTAAACTCTCAGGGAACGATTTGCTGTGTGGAACGGTTGAAACATCTTTGCCAGCCAAGATGGAGCCGGCAAAGGTTCAGGATGAAAAACCCGCAGTGAAAACTACACTGCAATGGTATGGATCATACGGTTCCTTCTTCTGTGTTCTTAGGATTATATACGAATCCAAAGAAACAGAAAGAAGCATACAGCCACACATGTCTTTCGATGATAATGATATTTGTCTTTGTCTTATCCAATTAGGCAGCGTGCAGCATTGATGGCCAAGACCATTACAGCCTTTAAGGAGACCGTTGATGTGGATAGCGACGATGATGTGGATAACAAACAACAAATCAAATACGGTAAACCATCTCAGGCAGCTTGGGCCATATTCTCGGAATATTGTGACAACAGTACCATCCATGGCATCAAATATTTGGGTGAACAAAAGAGACCCGTCTGGGAAAGGTGATTGCCGAAGAATTGAAGTGAAAACCTGAAGTATAAGTCAAATATGTGTGTGTGTTTTTTTTTTTATTTCAGAGTATTTTGGATTATGGTCTTTGTTTTCTCCATATACCTGTGTACCTCGCTGACCATGAACATTTGGAACAAGTGGAATAATAATCCGGTTATTGTGAGTTTTGCTGAAAAATCCACACCCGTCTGGCAAATTCCCTTTCCGGCTGTTACCATTTGTACGGAAACGAAGGCCAGACAAACATATTTCAATTTTACGGATATCTATTGGAAATATCGAGATTATATCGACAACAGAACAACGGAAAATATATCAGATGACGAGTAGGTATTTGTAGGGCAAACACCGTAAAATGGGGTTTATACAAATTAAAAAAAAAATGCAGAAATCTAAAAGTGTAGGTCAAACAGCCTATTTACATTTGAAATTTCCAGTATTAATTAAAGGTTCTAAATGTGCATGGTTATAGATCTGAGGATCCTTGGAAAAATATTCTTTGAAAATGTATGCTTATAGATCTGAGAGTCCCTGCGAAAATGTTCCATGAATATCCAGGCTTATAGTGCTAAGAGTCCTTCGGAAATTTTTAAAAATTTCGCCCTTACAGATCCGAGAGTCCTGGTAGAAATATTAATACAAATTGTAAGGTTACATCAATGAGAGTCATTGGAAAAATATTTTTTGACCTCTTGGAGTCCTGGTAGAACTATTTTTAAAAAATTCGCCCCTAAAATAATAAGAGTCATTGGAAAAATATATTTCATACCCTCTACCATTAAATTACATTTGTCATTCCGACCTCGAAATATTCACCGGAGACCCCAAAAAGTATAAATATTCTTGATCAGTAGTGTTGGCGGTTTATTTGGGATACCATTTGTGTTTTGTTTTTGCAAAATAGTCAGGCTGAATCCCAGTTTGTTGTTTAAAAAAAAATTCTATGTAGATTTATGCCTGTCCGTCTGTCACGAAATGACGATATATATAGCAATTTTTAAGACAGAGCTCTGAAATTTTGCACAGACATTGCTAGTACTTCTAGGATGTTTCGTATTGCAAATGAAATATATCGGTCCAAGTTTTGGTGTAGCCCCCATATAATGTTACCCCCATATATTCGGTATTTCTCATTGTATAGCAAATTTCCGTACCAAAAATTATTAATATTGAACCATGTTTGAGTGTAGCCTCCATAGAACGGTATACCCACATCTCTGAACTAAAAATGGTTTCACTACTCAAAAGTTTTGATATAGACCACATATCTATTATCTATTTCTCTCGACTTTTTCGGTATATCATAACGTGAGTTTTGTCCTAGGAGCCCCCGTTTATTTCACATATTTTCCAACTGGTGGAGGGTATAAAAAGTTGTTTCTAAAGGACCTTGAAAAGATATTATTTATAAACACCTCCGATTAAACGCAAAATTTCTCTTAGAAAACATTGAGTTCATGGACAAATATTTTTAAAAATGCCCACTTATATCTCTACGAGACCAAGGGAAAATGTTCACCAAAACTGCAACCTTATAGCTCTAAGGGCCTTTGGAAAAATATTCACTAAAAATATACGCTTAAGGTTCTCAAAGACTTCGAAGAAATATCTTTAAATATACATAATATAAAAGTCTTGGGAAAATATTGTTAAAAATCCACACTTAAATCCCTGACTGGCCTTGGAAAAATATTCTTTAGAAGCCTATGGTTATAGCTGTGAGAGCTTCGAGACGCCTATTCCATTGACATTTATTTTTGATTAATCCATAATAAATTCAATTTGTTTACATTCTATTTAGGAAGACAAAACTCAGCTCCGCTCTGCAAGTATGTGATTCACATTTAATCCAATTCCCCATTGGATCAAACTATAGTGATAGCGCAGAACTTCTTGCTACCCTGCGTGATTTAATGCCAGAATTTGGGGAAATTTTCCAGAAATGTAAATGGCGTAATGTTGGCACAGACTGTACCGAACTATTTCACACCTTTGTAACAGATGATGGGCCATGCTATACATTCAATACGTTAAGTGCCTTTGAAATTTATCGTGATGAAGGGTAATATAACTCACTCATTGGTTATTAACCAAAATTATATATAACACGATATATATTGTTTCTAGTTTAATACATGATTTTATATTGCACACTGAAAATCGCACTGCCACCGATTGGAATGTCGAAGACGGCTATGCTGCCAATGCTGACACGGAAACTTATCCATATCGTGTTTTGGGTTCCGGATCTAAGGCTGGATTAAATCTGGCATTGAGTGGTAATGAAGACGATTTCGATGACCTGTGTCGTGGTCCAACACAAGGTTTTAAGGTGATTTTAATGTGAATTAAGTGGCGGGAATTAGTGGATATAATTTGTGTTTTTTTTTATTTATATTTTCAGTTGCTTCTACATACACCGGGAGAAATTCCACAAGTAACAAAACAATTTTTCCGCGTACCATTTAATCAGGAAGTTTTAATAGCCATTAAACCGAAAATTATTACAACATCTGATGGCTTGAAGCATTACGAACCTATTAGGTAAGTTATAAATGAAAAATACTTCACAGTGGAAGTGTATTTTGAAAACCAGTGAGGGGAGCAGTATAGACGGACGGGGCCGACCATATGATACCCTACACAACTACCACGAAAAGCTAACTTTTTGCGGTTCTATATTCTGAGCCTGGGCAATATTTCGTGATATTTGCACTTAATTATATTTGGTCACATTAGGTTTTTGTTAATTTGACCCTCGGAATATTGACAGATCATCATCTAAGCAGCCGCTCTACGTATTTGGTCAGATCCCCTTCACCTTGTAAAATATGTGATGTTCTGCAATAATAATTGCCTCTAGAACGACTAGAAAATCTGACAAAATTAACGTTTTCTGTTAATTGCACCCCCTGAATGAAATCTCAACTTCACCGAAAACTATAGGCGTCGTCCTTGACCATAATCGAAACTTCATGTACAATTTCAAAGCGATCAGCGCGAGATTTCCTTCCTCTAATGGAGTAATAGTAATACTAGGCACATAGTCACCTTTACCTAATTCCGGATAACTCCCACATCAGAGTACATACAGCCATATAATGTGTATTAATTTAAAGGTCAACAACTCCTCTTGGATATACTACCAGGAGCAAGTATATATGCCCCCAGAATAAAGATTTTGAAAATTTTCACACAAAATTCAGGGTCCATTTGACTCGCTAAATATTGACGGATCTTAATCAAAACAGGCATGCTTATTCTTTGGTCCGAACCCCTTTCTCCATGCAAAAATTCGGGATGTTTGGGCAATACTAGCGGCCTCTGGAGCGACCAGAAAACCCGACAAAAATTATGTATTTGGTCCATTTCATGCCCTAAATATTAATCGATCTTTACCTTCCTACATGGAAAATTTCGTGAAGATTGGTCCATAACTGTGGCATCAATCGTGTTTACAAATTATAATGGACAGACGGACGGACACACATGTCTAGATCGACTCAGCTAGTCGAGCTATGACGATCGGTATACTTAAAGGTGGGTCTAGGACCAATATTTCGCGGCGTTACAAACGCTCGGGGCTGCACAAAGCTATAATACCCTGACAACATAGTTGTGTAGGGTAGCTTAATCCAAGCTTCAATAAATATTATTGACGTTGACGGCGTTACAAACGCTCGGGGCTGCACAAAGCTATAATACCCTGACAACATAGTTGTGTAGGGTAGCTTAATCCAAGCTTCAATAAATATTATTAATATATCCAAGCCTTTAGCTCTGAAACACCTTCATAAATATAATTAACAAATCCGAGTTGATAACTCTGTAAGACCGCCATTAAAGATTTAAAAAATACATACTTTAAAAAAAATCCACCCAAAGAACACTAAAAAGCTTCAAATAATATTATATAAATCCAGGCTCATAGCTCCGAAGGACCCGCCATCAGTGTTCTTAGATTATCCAAGCTTGTGGCTCTAAAATAACTTCCATAATTAGTATTGAAAGTCCTATAATTAAAAATCTACAATTACAGCTCTGAATGCCATTCGAAAAATATTCATTTAATTTTCCCGTAATTTTTTCCCATTTCTCCCCAGGCGTCAATGCTATTTCCAAAAAGAACGTGATTTACGTTATTATCAAATCTATACACAAAGTAATTGTGAACAGGAGTGTCTGGCCAACTTTACATTGTCCAGATGTGGTTGTGTAAAATTCTCTATGCCAAGTAAGTGAATAATAAAAAAAAATATTCTACAAGAAATTGCAATAAAATCTCATCACACAATTATTTTCCAAAAGGACATGAACAAGTTCCCGTGTGTAATACCGAGCATGTGGAGTGCTTAAATAATGCCGAAGATGAATTGGCCCTAAAAGAATTCGAACAGGGTATAGCAACGTCAGGTGAAAATGTTCGTGGTCCAACGACATGTAACTGTTTGCCATCATGCACTTCCATTGCATATGAGGCAGAAATATCGCAGGCAGATTATGAATATGTCAAAGCTACTAATAAAGGAAACTCTACCGAATCGGAAGAAACAAGTCAAGAGTAAGTTGTATTGAGTTTAGTAATATGCTTTAGATTATTATAACCCAATTCTAATTTCAGAATCAAAAGAACTCGTCTATCAATATTCTTTAAAGAGGCTCAATTCCTTACCTCGAAACGTTCCGAGCTGTATGGTACAACAGATTTCCTTGCCAATTGCGGTGGTCTATTGGGTCTTTTTATGGGTGTCTCTACGCTCAGTATTGTGGAGATTATCTATTTCTGTACGGTTCGTTTAATAACCAATTTGAAAATGCGTTACAAGAAACGCAAGGAAATGATTAATGATGAAAAGGTTGCCACAAAGGATGCTTAAATGTTAGATATATGTGAACAAAAATTGTAAATAATACTTGATTTTATACAATTTTTAATTAGAAGAAACCACTATGCCGCCTTATGTAGTTGTGAAATTACAAATAAAAACCTCAAATGTTCAAATTGTTTTCTTACCCAAAAAAGATGAGTTTATGCTTTATATTTCTAAGGTGAAGATACAAGCTCAGAATTTCCTGCAAATATTTGTTTCTTTTTTTTTAATCCACGCTTTTGGAAAAGATATTCTTATATATTCAGGGATTTGGGTGTGATAGTCCCTGGAAAAAATAATACATCAGTTCTAATTGTCGGGGGAAAATATAGTTTTGAAAATCTACTTTAAGCTCAGGAAGTCAATGGAAATAATAAAATATGATTTGGTCTATAAACAGTTGTATTTAATTAAGGTGACCATATATCCCCTTTTTGAACGACAATCATCTACTTTAACTGGCTGTCATCTATAAAATGTATGTACTGAATTGTGTTTTCGGGTGACATAAGTATTACTTTCTACCAACAACTTGCTATATGCTTGTTGATTCCGATTGTTGTACAACAATTTTTTATACCATATATTTTATACAATTTTAGAAGGACTAGAAGTTGTAATATTATCGTATATTTGTATAGAATATTTTTCGAAGGATTTTCAAGAATATTATCGGAGGACTATCCACGCTACAAGCGTGGATTTTTATAGACTATTTTAAGTAATATCAAAGATAGAAGCGTTGTTTTAAAATATTTTTTCAGCAGCTCAGAATGTCCTATAAGCGTTATATGTCCTATAATAGCTTTTAGCGTTGATTTATACATAATATTTGTTAAGGACTTTGTGAGGACCTTACAAGGCATTCAGACATTCAGATTCGTCAATAAAATGTTTAAAGGATATTCAGAGCTACAAGCTTGTTTTTATACCATTCACCACACTGTGGTAAAGGGTATTATGTCTTTGTGTATATATTTCTAACATTCAAAAGGAAACGAGATAGAAACATGGTTCCTTTTGAGAATATGCATAGAATCACTTTCTAAGTCGATTTATGCATGTCCGTCCGTCTGTCCATGTGAAATTGTAAACAAAGTACAGGTCGCATTTATTATTCGAATTGGATGAAATTTGGCACAGCTCATTCATTTGGTTCAGATTTAGATATAGCTCCCATATATATTTTCGTCCGATTTAAGGTAAATGGTGCACCAAAGTCCAAAAATAGCTTTCGATTTGCACGAAAATTAGCACAACAAACTGAATTATGCTTAGAATAGTGTGTGCTAAGTTTCGTGAAAATCGGTTCAGATTTAGATATGTTAGTTAGTTTGAAAAGAGGGGCGGTTTACACCACCACATGTCCACTGTCGGACATACACTTAAGCCATAGGAGGCCTGTTGTGCGCTCTAGGAAGGAAAGTTAATTAGATTGAATTATTCTTATTTTTTTCTTTTTTTTTTTGTTGGTCTCCCTATTCTTCTAGGAATTCTGTGTTCTTGCTGAAGTCCTTTAGTATTTTCCATTCACACCCCCTTAGGTCATCCACAGATCTTGCTTCCCTTGTTACCGTAACGTCATCACTTATGGATGGGTTCCGTGGGAAGTGAGCGTTCATCAGGAGCCTTATTGTTTCTTCAGTTGTTTCCATCCTGTTGCCATCACTGTCTACCATCGTTTCGGCTTGAGTGTGGGTTTTTGACAGAACCTTTTTTTATTTTTGAGACGTCGTTTATGCTATCGACCTGTTCACAAAAGGTTTTCCAGGAGCTGTTGTAATCACTCTTTCGTCTAAAAGAATAGAGATAGATCGCCAAAATTTTGCATAGAGTCGTCTTTTGTCTGCAGGCAGGTCAAGCTCGAAGATGGGATATATCGGTCCACGTTTAGGCATAGCTCCCATGTAAGGGTACCCCCAGATTTTTGGTATTTTAAGGTTCTTGAGCACGTTTTTCAGCCGTATTTGCTGAAATTTGGTGCATTGGGTACTAAATGTCTCCACAAAAAATTATAAGTATAGGTCCACTTTTTCTGGTAGGTGGGTTTTGATCATATGTTTCCACCGAATTGGCTGTAATTTAGTATTTTGAGTTCTTAATAAGTACCAAATCTCTCCACAAAAAATTATTAATAGAGGTTAATTATTTGGATAGCACCTCAATAAGGGTACCCCCAATTTTCGGTACTTTCGGGTTCTTGAGTGCGTTTTTCTACCGAATGCGTTAGAATTTGGTATTTTGTAGTTGCATATGGTAACAAATCTTCTTACCAAAAATTATTAATGTTCGCCTCCTTTTTAGGGTAGTCCCCATATAAACCACTTTTTTATATTAAAATAGTTATCTGATTTGTTCCGAGTTTTGGGTTTGGTTCTAAGACTCTGTTGCAATCATTTCACCTGCGGAGGATATCGAGATAAAAAAACTAGAACGTACGGTTCGATAATGAAGGCCTAACCTCTCTGTGGGAGGTACCAGATGTAGTGGACCGATATACCCTATCTTCGAACTTAAGTTATGTTTGGAAGAAATGATAAGATGCGCAAAGTTGGGATGAAATCAAATTTTTCTGAAACAAATTTGGTCCAAAGAAACATAGGGTCTAAAACCAATATTTCGATGAGGCTCATTTTCACCGCGTCAAAGTGTCCACCCTCACCCTAAAGTCCCCAACCTCATTAGCCATAAGGCTGAGGGTATAATTATCCATTAAACATTTATGAAATTTGTATTATGGTTTACATAATCCGTTTTTAGAAATGTCGGTATAGGTCCACTTTTTGGTATGTTCCCTATATTTTCATTCCCAGGACATATCAATATATCTATGGTGGAGGGTATCCAAAGTTCGGCCCGGCCGAACTTACCGCTTTTTCACTTGTTAAGACTATTTTTTAAAAAGGACTATATAAAAAAATATTTATTGGAGAAACCGCCACACTATAAGGTCTCAAACGATTGATGACTTTGACGTAAAATATATTTTTCCGGAATATAACAACGCTTCTTCTTTTTGGATTGTTTTTGAAAAGAAAATTGTTATCATAAACATACTGCAGGACGATGCGTAAAGTATGTATGCAAGGAATATAAAACTTACAAAAGTCATTTTCTATATACGAATAAATGTCACTGGGCATTTATTTTTAAACAAATTCTATTATGAAATGAAAAAAAAACAATCTTCCCGATAAGTGCTCGTTTCAATATTCATCATAAGAACATATACAAAAAATACATATTTCCATCATTCAAATTTTATCGTGTAATTTCAATATGGCAAAGTAAAATTACAAATGTGCAATCCATAAAGAAAAGAATACTCCAACATAAAAAGTTTTCATTGACGATACATATGTAAAATGAGTCCTATATGAATTATTTTGAAATGACAGTGGCCCACAAAGTACATACTAGAATTATTAATTATTAGTAATTATTTTCACAATAAAAATCTTTGGAAAGTAATGCCTAAGGATTTGTATTACAATTTGCAGAATTTCAATATTGAGATCTCAAATATTCTATAACGCCGTGAGCTACAGTACATTTAAAGTGGAGCACTTTGCCTAACAAAAAAAAAAAAAAAAAAACACCACGAATCCAACAAGTCGGCTATCATCAATAATATAAATAAAATTGTCATAAATTTATGTTCATTTTTGTTGTTGTTGTCTTTTTATCGCTATGTGGAATATATTCCTTCATACATATAGGGAGGTGTTCATATGTACATTTTATGTTTTTTCTATAGGAAAGTGTGCGATGCGATATGCACGAATTGTAGAGTGGTAAAATGTTGCCATCGACAATAATTTACGTGATAAATGAAAGCATTTTTAGTAACAATAAACTTTGTACTTCAATTGAAAGTCAACTTTTGAGTTGGGGTAAAATATTGTAATATATATAAAAATATATGTATATATACTTTGTGATACAGTGGTTAAAAAATATTTCAAGGAATAATTTTTATACTAGTATGGTTTTTGCAAAATATTGTATAACTCTTTGGCCCTTTCTATATTATGTACCATTAATTATGTGATCTTTATAAATTGATCATCCTCTATTGGTTGCAAAGTCTATGCAACTAACTCACAACCAGTGTTGCCAAAATCTGTTAAGAAAAAATACTAGATTTTTTTAAAAACTTTGATCCACTTTTAAGCGTAGCCCTCATAAACACGTTTTACAATCGCATTGGCTTTAATTTGATATTTTAAATTGAGTAAAAAATCTCCTTATCAGAAATTATTAATATAGGTACATATTTTGGGGTAGCATTATTTACCTAAAATCGGACGAAAATATATATGGGAGCTATATCTAAATCTCAACCAATATTCATGAAATTTAACATAGATTTTTCTAGACTTAATTCAGTACGATATGCAAAATTTCAAGCAAAGGATCGAAGGATTTATAGGGACTTTGGTGCACTATTTACCTAAAATCGGACGAAAATATATATAGAAGCTATATCTACATCTGAACCGATTTTTCCCAAATAAATGAGCTGTGCCAAATTTAAACCAATTCGGATCAAAAATGTGTCTTGTACTTTGTTTACAATTTAACATGGACAGACAGACGAACAGACGGACGGACATGCCTAAATCGACTCAGAAAGTGATTCTATGCATATTCTCAAAAGGAACCGTGGGTCTATCTCGTTTCCTTTTACCTGTTACAAACATATGGACAAAGACATAATACCCTGTACCATAGTGTGATGAAGGGTATAAAAATGTACGTTTGCTGGAATTTTTCTGTTGTGGTCCTGTTTGGTACTCTTAAGAGGTTATAATTTGAAATTTTCCCGGTGAATAAAAAACTTATTTTCAGAAAACTCCAACATAATTCATGTTCATGATTTTTACATCGTTCTCATCCAATGGACCGCTTTATTTGCTTGTGTTTTTCTTCCTAATAAACAATATACTAGCTGACAATGTCATAGTTACCATATGAAGTACCCGACCATTTATTAAGAAATTTTG